CCTCATAAAACTATCGTAAATAAGTTGCTGCTATCCTGAGGGAAATTTCGGAGGGAACCAGCTACTAGATGGTTCGATTAGTCTTTCGCCCCTATACCCAAGTTTGACGATCGATTTGCACGTCAGAATCGCTACGAGCTTCCACCAGAGTTTCCCCTGGCTTCACCCTACTCAGGCATAGTTCACCATCTTTCGGGTACCAACATATGTGCTCAAACTCAAATCTTTCACCACGAAGGTTCATGATCGGTCGATAGTGCCACACCGCAGACCGAAGCCCGCAGCATTTCCTACCTCAGACAACTTACGCTGCCCTTCACTTTCATTTCGCGCTGGGGTTTCCACACCCTAACACTTGCACACATGTTAGACTCCTTGGTCCGTGTTTCAAGACGGGTCAAATCGCTCCATTTCGTCAACGTCCCGAACGGCAACAAGTTAAAACCCACATCAATCCACACACAACCACACACGCATAGCAAGCTATCCGCACACGGCGCACACAGAGACACAGGCCCACTCAAAAACACGTTGTAGGCACCTCAGTCCCAACCGCGACTACTCGTCCACCAAGATATAACAGACAAACGCAAGCGTAAGCCCTACCTCCTCGGCGGCCATTTCCCGCAGCATACGAACTGACCTTGACGTCCCACCGCAGCACAGGGCACCAGCAAGCACACACAGCACACACGCCGAGCGCAGCCAAAAAAGCCGCTGCCACAGCACACGCACGCACACACTCGCCAATGAAATATACCACGGATTATAGACACTGGAAACGATTCGGTTCTCTTTCAGCAGTTTCAGGTACTCTTTAACTCTCTTTTCAAAGTTCTTTTCATCTTTCCCTCACGGTACTTGTTCGCTATCGGTCTCGCACCAATATTTAGCTTTAGATGGAATTTACCACCTACTTTGCGCTGCATTCCCAAACAACGCGACTCAAAGAAAACGGATCGTACGCACGAGCAACTCAGGGATGAACGGGAGTATCACCCTCCATGCTGTCCTCTTCCAAGGAACTTGCCCCAAGCGCCCACACTGATCACGCCTCTATAGACTACAATTCGCCGCGCAAAACTTGCACGGAGATTTTAAGCTTGAGCTCTTCCCGCTTCACTCGCCGTTACTAGGGGAATCCTTGTTAGTTTCTTTTCCTCCGCTTATTAATATGCTTAAGTTCAGCGGGTAATCTTGCCTGATATCAGGTCCAATTGAGATGCATACCGAAGTACACAACATTTCCCAAATGGATCGACCCTCGGCAGCCGAAGCCGCCACTCTACTTCGCAACAGCAAAGCCGATTCAAATGCCAAGCTAAAGAGCCATGGTTCACCAGTCCATCACGCCACAGCAGGAAAATCACCCAATAAGCGCATTGTTCAGCCGAAGCCAACCATACCACGAATCGAGCATTTCTCCATTAACGCCGCAGCAGACAAACCGGTCGCCAACTCGCTACAATAGCAGCGTCCACAACCAGCAATGCCACCACTTTTGGAGCAAAGAGAAGTACAGTTTAGTACATTTAAAAGGACTCGCAGTCGGTCCGAAAACCAACCGCAATACACTTCACATCTGGCATCTCCTCCACCGACTACACGGAAGGAAGAAAGCCAAGTTTGTTGTACGGACACTGATACAGGCATACTTCCAGGACTAACCCGGAAGTGCAATATGCGTTCAAAATTTCGATGACTCACTGAATCCTGCAATTCGCATTACGTATCGCAGTTCGCAGCGTTCTTCATCGATGTGCGAGCCTAGACATCCACTGCTGAAAGTTGCTATCTAGTTAAAAGCAGAGACTTTCGTCCCCACAGTATAATCAGTATTAAGTAAAGGGTTTAAAATAAAAAAGCTACTAGCTCAGACCGAAGTCCAAACGCTCGCCTTTTGATAGGGCTCGCCCAGCAGTAGCCGCCAGCAATAAAGCCAGCAGCCGCCGCCAAGTAAGACCCCCAACTATTGGGTTGAAACGGTTCACGTGGAAAGTTTTTAGGTGTGGTAATGATCCTTCCGCAGGTTCACCTACGGAAACCTTGTTACGACTTCACCTTCCTCTAAATGGCGAGGTTTAAAAAAGTTCCCATCAATCCACTCGCAATAAAGCAAACAGACTCACGGTCCCAATTTTTCACCGAGTCATTCAATCGGTAGGTGCGACGGGCGGTGTGTACAAAGGGCAGGGACGTAATCAATGCAAGCTGATGACTTGCGTTTACTAGGAATTCCTCGTTCAAGACTGAAAATTGCAACAGTCTATCCTGCGGCGTATAATACGGAAGTGGAGACTCGTCAGTGTCGAGGCCACACGACAGCAACGTCGTCGAGATCTTTTCACGGAAAAACGACAATACATGGCACTCCAGGGCACCATGAGGCGATGGCAAACAAGAATTACGAGCTGCTCGCTGTCCAAACAGCGTCGAACGCTTCGACTCCTACTAAACCGCCTCCAATTATCCCTTGAGCGTCAAGCATTCAGACTTTGGGAACGTCGAGCTCGTGCGCATACCCTCTTTGAACGAGATCGGGTGAGTGCTGAGCTGCTCCGTCGCTCTGAAGTTCGAGTGTTGGTTCTACAGAGAAGATA